CATGCGCCACCATGCCTGGCTAATTTTTTGGTTTATTGTAGAGATGAGGTCTCGCCAAGTTGCCCAGGCTGGTCTCAAACCAGTGGGTTCAGGCAGTCCTCTCACCTCGGCCTTCCAAAGTGCTGCAATTATAGGCAAGAGTCACCACACCCGACCTGAAATTATTTTCTACATAAAAATATTCTGCTTGACCAAAATAGCACCATAAGGAAAGTCAAAACACAAATGATGAACTAGAAAAAATCGTTGCAACTCCTATCACTAACAAAGTTCTGATCAGTCTAATATAGATAAAGAGCTCTTAGAAATCAAGAAGAAGCTGGGCATGGTGGCTCATGCCTATAATCTGAGCACTTCGGGAGGCAGAGGCGAGAGGATTGCCAGAGTTCAGGAGTTCGAGACCAGCCTGAGCAATATGGTGAGACCTCGTCTCTACAATAAATCAAAAAAATTAGCCGGGTGTGGTGGCTCGGGCCTGTGGTTCCACCTACTTGGAAGGCTAAGGTGGAAGGATCGCCTGATCCCAGCAGGTCGAGGCTGCGGTGGCTGTAAGCATGCCACTGCACTCCAGCCTGGGCAACAGAGTGAGACGCCAACTCAAAAAAAAAAAAAATTAGGAAGAAAAATAGCAATATCCCAATAGAAATATGCGAAGGATAATGACCAGCTCACAGAATAAATAACACAAGAGAACACGTGCTGCACTCACAGTAGTAGAAATGTAAGCTAAAACTGCACCGTCATACCACTTTTCACTTACCAGATTGGCAAAAATCCAAAGATTTGACAGTGCGGTCTGGTGACGAAGCTGGGGAAACAGGCACCCTCACATGTTGTTAACAAGAGGGGAAAATGGGGGCAACCGCTATCCACATAACAAATGCATTTGCCCTTTAACCCAGCAATCTTACTTCTGGAAGTTTATCCTCTGATCTCGACCACACATGTAGAGAACATTATATGTACAAGGGTAACTGTTACAGCCAGCATTGTTTATACACAGCCTTCCTCAACCTTCCTCACCTTTCTTCCATCAGCTGGAACTCTGCAGTAATGCATCATGCACAAATGGAAAACACCTGTGCTACAACTGTCCCCCTTGGGCAGTGCACAACTTGCACAACTATCCATGGCAGTCCTGACTGCAGCATGAGCTGTAATAGGAAAATGCTGGAAACAAAGCAAGTGTCCATCGACAAGGAAGAGGCAAATAAAACATAATATACACCAAAGTGGAATATTGGGCATCTGTAAAAAAGAAAGAGGAAGCTCCCTGTACTTCCAGAATATGTTGTTAAATAATATAGACCAGTGATATAGTGCCCTGCCAATTATGTATAAAAGGAGAAAAAGAAGATATCTGTTCATATTTGCATTTAAAAAATGGAAGGATTGCCGGGTGCAGTGGCTCACACCTGTAATCCAGTACTTTGGGAGGCAGAAGTGAGAGGACTGCCTGAGCCCAAGGGGTTCGAGACCAGCCTAGGCAACCTGGCAAGACTTTGTTTCTACAATAAAACAAAAAGTAGCCGGGCACGGTGGCACGAGCCTGTGGTTCCAGCTACTTGGAAGGACTGCCTGAGCCCAACAGGTCGAGGCTGCCGTGGCCATGAGTATGACTGTAAGCTACAGATTGTAAGTCTGTGAAGCAGATGTTGAGCTGTAAAATGTCATGGACACGTTCTCAAATCTTAGCTGGGCTCAGTGGCTCAGCCTGTAATCCCGCGCCTTTGGGAGGCTGAGGTGAG